AAGGACGTCTGCGGGGAGGCTATAATATCCACTGATCGAGTTGAAGCAAGTTGGCCCCTATCAAACCAGAGCTTCTCATGGTATCTGTATCATCTACTCACTTAGCTGGAGTGCTAGTCAGTTGCAAGGAACCCCTTCCCAACAGTTTGTCTGATTTCCTAAAGGTGATGTCACACGAGACAATCCGCAACAACGACTCTTTTCGCAACACAGCGTTGCAACATTGCTACGACATTTTTTCAAATACCTCCAACATTGTTCCAACATTGCAACGCTGTGTTGCGCTAAAAATCGTCGTTGCGAATCGTACCGTGTAACATCACCTTAAAACTTGCCGTCGCTTGATTGTTTGTTAGTTTTCTTTTTGTTTTTTTCTTTGGTGAATGAGAAGAAATAAGCGCTGTTGCAATAAAGCCAACCTGGATGGACTGGGCAGTCTGACGAGCTACCTACTCACAGCCGAACGAGTTTTAAATTCAGGCTATGTCCACACTTTACCAGATTTCTTTGGCGCCGGCACCAAAACCATACTGCTCGTCACTATCTTCGTGGCTTAGTTAAAAGACATCACCCTCAGTCCTGGAACGCGTTATAAATTCCAGTTATGTCCACATCACACCAGATTTCTTTGGCGCCCAGGCACGAAAAACCATACTGTATAGGGCTTCTGTTCACACATAAGAACGGTGACTGCGGGGCTGTTTCTATAATTGAGCGAAGCCGCGCCGCGCCGATCTCACATGAGGAGAGTCACAAATCGGAAGTGTTCATTCTAACCGGGACATCTTTTCTTGTCGGCACGAAAAGTTATCCGGTATAGACCTTTTTACCGATCGATAAGGCAGCCATATTGAATCAATTAGAATTAAGGAGTATTATGGGATGCCAAAGGGGGATGAGCACGATCCGATATACCCGCTCAGTATTTATGCGCGCTTTTCGGCCAATTTTTGTTTAAGTTTTCCCATAAGAAAGATTTTCAAGGGAAAAAAAAAGATCGTTGTGCCGTGTTTGGATGTGATAATGATTGCCTTTTTTTCGCCTTATATATACAGTGAAGTTCTCTTTTGGCCCGAAAAGCAGGCGCAAATACTAAGCGAGTGCCCCCTGGGCATCCCATAATACTTCTTAAATCTAATAAATTCAATATGGCCGCGGTATTGGTCAAAAGGTTGTGTGAACGTAACCTCAGTCTGTCTGCACCTGTTTAAGTATGTATATATCTGATAAGGTCAACATAATGAACAGTTCTCACTCGTCTTTTAGACCACAGCTTAATAGTTGTTGCTCTGGTGTCATGACAATAACTGTTCTTCAAGCTGTCAATCTACCATTGCATGACGTGGGACTTATTCTCGCTGTGTATTGGATCCTGTAAGCAGACACCCGTTCTGCTGAATTGAAAACTCTTCGATTTGTTATTGGCAGATAAAAAAAGGGTCAGACGCACCTCGACTTGAAAAAAGGCAATGATTTAAATAGCTAGGGAGCGCATGTTTGAAACTGCCATCCTTAATAGAGTGTCTTTTAAAACAAGAAGGAAACTGCATGTTTTTTAGCGTTAGACAAGTCGACGACACTTGTTGACTGATAAGCTCAACTGTTATTTGGTACACAGAGATCGAGGCAATAAAACAAATATATTTAGCCTAGTTTTAGGTTAATCCGGTTATTTATTGTTATTTTTTAACTAGAGGTTGAAGAGTAACATAATTTACAGAACTAATAATTAGTTAATTTTCTCCGGCTAAATTGAAAACGTGGGGCTTATTACTATGAGCTTAATCTCTGAATCTCTGACAACGAAATCAGATTCAGAATTGTAAGTTACACGTAAGATAAATAACAAAACCAAGCACACCAAACGGGTGAAAAGCAGCAAAAGCAAATAATTCATAAAGATAAGTTACTCCGTCACATTTCGGGGGCGCAAACTCATGAAGTATTACAAGGGAACAGAGGTTTTTTTTTTTGCAGACCTTACTGGGCCTAGTCCGGGTGAATTGACTATTAATACTAGTGGGCAAAATTTACGTGTTTACTCAAGATTCATTCATGTGGTAGCGGCAGAAAGACTGTGGGCACTTTGGAAAAGAGCATATAACCTGGGAGATACACACAGTGACTGAGGGAAACAGGAAATTAAAGTACTGCCACGACCTCGGGCCAATATTCCCCAGCACGGCCCTCGCGCTCGGTTAGTAAGCGGTTAATATCAGATACCGTGTATAGGTATTTGTTGTTGTGAAGGGTATGGTTTCCAAGCAAATTAGTCTGAGATATGGTATGGAATCGGAGAGTCTGGGTTTAGTATAGGGTATCATTTTCAACGACACTGATGAATTGGTCGAAACTCTTAGTCTAGACTGCAAAATGGGGAATTGAGACAAAGAAAATAAAATCGGGAAATATAAATTTATCTCAAGAGAGAATGATCTACTCGCAACTCAGCAAAGAAAGCGTCGACTTCCGGCCGTAACTATTGAAAAATAGTGACTCTAGGATAGGGAGAGATTTGGGGGCTTCAGTCTAGTGTAGGGTAGTAAAATTCAGCAGAACTAGGCCTGTTATAGGCTATGTGTTGCGGGTTTCCATCGGCACATCCCTACCTAAGTATTCCTAAAGTACTTCCCTCCGAGACTTGATCGTCTTTTCATCTGTATTTAGACTAGTATAATGGTGGCCGTTTTGTGTCTCAAAGCACGGCTGCCTGTGAGACTAGCACAATGGAAACGACTGCTTTGGAACTAAATTTCACTGGTGGGGTACGAGTCTGCCCAGCTTCAGCAGCCTTTACTACACTATACAAAAAGAACAACACTCCCAAATGTTTTAATATATAGATTTAGCCAGGGCTAAAAGCGAAGCTCCCATTAATAAATTTATATTTTAAATCAAACAATAAACTTGTAATCCACAAATCAGTTAACTTAAGGGCACATTCATGTGACTTTTCAGGGAAAGGATAAGTTATTTTAGAGTGAAACATCTTACATCGAGTTGATAGTCTAAATATACATGTATGTACACCCAAAAAATAGCAAACATCTTCTGTCACATTTAAGAGCCATAATGGCTCTTGATCACAGTAGATTAGGCCTCGAAAATAAATTCTTGGAAAACAAATCAGGCCGCCCTTTTTTTT